AGGGTTGAACCAGCACAGCTGGGGAACCGCCACAGTCACCACAACAGGCCCCATTTTGATATCTTTTGCAACTAAAATAGTCAACACTCTCAAAAGTTAAGTTAAAACTCGAATGTGAGTTATCATGGCCAATTTTTCATAGGAAGTTGAAACTTTCACAGTGTTCTCTGTGGAACAACGCATCTACAATTTACAATTCGCATCTACATATTTACAATTCTAGAGAAAACATACTAGCTATGGAACACTAGACAGTGGTGGAAAGGGTTGAGTGACTTGATTAAAAGTACAAGGAATTTTCAATCACTTTTTTACATGTGTACTTCTACATAACTGTTGTTCCTCTTTCGGCTGCTCCCGTTAGGGGTCGCCACAGCAGATCATTGGTCCACATATTTAATTTGGCCCAGTTTTTACACCAGATGTCCTTCCTGATGCAACCCTTCCCAGTTCTATCCAGGCTTGGAACCAGCACTGGGAGTGCACTGTCGTGTGCCACTGGGGGTTGGTTCCCTGGCGAGGAATCGAACGCTGGCCACGGCAGTGAGTGCGCTGTGGCCTAACCCCTAGTCCTCCAGGAACCCTTTTCTACAATTGACACAACTAATCTAAAAAAAATTCCATATATGAGAAACGCATTTTTTAACAGTTATGTTAACTAATAGTAACATTAGCTGGCTAGCTAACTTAGCCAAATGCTGTTGGGGTTTCAATAGTTTGATAATAGGTTCCTTAGCTAGCTATTTAGCTCATGTTTCCAGCTACATACTTAGCTATTTAGCTTGCTATGTAGTGTTATATATAGGCTGGAGCAGCACTTGGATATATTTAACACAACAGGCAATTGCTACTGAACATCAAAGTTTAATACAGAGCTTCCATATTTTAAAAGCTCAAAAGATCTGGCTTGCTAGTCTAGCTCACTCAGCTAGCTAATGGCTTACCTTTACATGTTTCCACAGGTTGAATGTTCACGTGTGAAATGATGATCATTATCAATACAAATCATTATCATGCTGTTTAAAACTTACCTGATCAGTTGGGCCAGTGATGCTCCAATTCAATTCAATTCAATTCAGTTTTATTTGTATAGCGCTTTTAACAATGGACATTGTCACAAAGCAGCTTTACAGAAATAAATGGATTCACAAAAATATATTGTAAATATTTGAATTTATCACTGTGAATTTATCCCTAATGAGCAAGCCAGTGGCGATGGTGGCAAGGAAAAACTCCCTGAGATGATATGAGGAAGAAACCTTGAGAGGAACCAGGCTC